ACAAAGTGTTAGAGATAGACTGCAACAAAACAAAAGGTGAGTGAACTGCCGAGGCGTGTAATCACTGTCCTTAAGAAAAGATTTCGCCCTTGTAGACGGTAAAAAATACCTCTATAGGATTACAGGAAATTCGCCTGCGAGAAGAGCTCGCACGCTCGGTTCTCTGGCACGGGCCTAAATCGCATAGACGTCAGATATGTTCGATTCTAGGTTCGCCTAACGGTCGGCTCGCCAGCACGAGTGGAGATCGATCAGGATGGCGGAAGTTCGCCCTTCACCCAACTCGCCTGCCCGAGTTCAGGGTCGAATCCGCCAGCAATCTCAAGACCGTCAGTACAGCTGGGTATCCACTACCCCACGTGCTGAGATGGGCCCACAGTCAACATGACGGATAAAGGGAAGGCGGTACTCTCCGACTCGCCAGACTCGGACTCCGTCTTAAGACCTAACACCCGGTCTGCCCGACGCCGGCAGGAAGGCATATTCCAGCGAACCCGTAGTCGCAGGGGAGTAAGTATCGGGTTTGACTATTCCACCCTGGTACCTCCCTCCTGCGGCGAAGACGAAGGTCATTCGGCAGCGGCCACATCTCAAACCTCGCGCTCAAGTCAAGACGCGCAGGCGAGGGCGCACATGACCGATACCAACCACGAGCAGACAATGGCTCAAAAGTTGGAGGCACAGCAGGCGACCATCGACTCTCTAAGAGAGATGATGGAGCAACTGCTGAGCAAGAAGAAAAAGAAGGGAACCCAACGTCCCTTGCCCCGGCAGACTAGGGATAAAGAATGGGTACCACCTCACCGTCCAGCGGCTGAGACAGAGGATGATCGACAGTCCGATTACTCCTCCAAAACATCGATAGGAACGTCGCACACCGCGGATAGCACCCGTGACAAAAGATTCGACGAGTTCCAGGACCAACTGAACGCGCTGAAGCTTCAGCAAAACATGAACAAGCTGGGGGTGGTACGTCCCTACCCTATCGAATGGGACACGGTCCCATACCCAGCGAAGTTCAAGCCGATCAGTTTGGTCCAGTTTGATGGCAAGGGGTCACCCTCGCAACATATCTATTACTTCATGGCGCAGACCGGATTCCTCACCGGGAACGACGCCATTCTCACTCGACTATTCATAGGTACCCTCAAGGGGGTGGCCTTTGAATGGTTCCGCAAACTGGAGCCCGGCTCTATCAAGGCATGGGCCGACGTTGAAAAACTCTTCTCCATCAAGGCATGGGCCGATGTCGAAAAGCTCTTCCTCGCCCGCTTCTTCGACGACGACACGGAAGTGTCAATGGCCACTCTCCTCGCTGAGAAGCAGCGGAAGTCGGAGTCAGTTAACGACTTCGTGAAGAGATTTCGAAATCGATCAGTCCACTGTCGGGACCAAGTTTCCGAGGCGACACTGATTGAGATGTGCCGCAACAATCTGTCGATCCACATCCTGTCCAAA